TATAACATAACTTTATTCATGGCATGTTTAAGAAAAAATCAAATACGATGCAAATTAAATTTTTCCTTCCTTCCTATCTCTTATCGCATTTTAATTCATTCACATTTTTGGTAAAATTTGATTTTGCTTTATCTAGTTCATTTATAATTCCAAATTAATAAATTGAAAAAGTGTAAAGATAAATATGAAGTAATTAAAACCAAATTTATTGATAACATAATTGGAAATTTGAAGATAGGGATGTAGAAAAATTTGAAGACGTTATTGTTATCAATTCTTTGATCTTCATCTTCGAATCCTTCCGACTTCCTTCAAATGATTAATTTAAGGGAGAGAATAATGGGAGTGAGTGAAGTGAAATGAGCTAAAAGTACTAAAAATACAGCTCAGAGTTTAAAAAGAAAGCTAAAGCGTTCACTAATTCTTACAAAATGTTCCTCTCTTCTATCGTCTTTCTATTTCAGGTTTCATTTTGCACCTAATTTTTTTTTCTTTTTTTTGTGATCTTTAATATCAAAATTATTGTGAGAAATTTTCTACATCAATATTTTATAAATTTTAAAACTTAATTTTAAATTTTTTTTTAGCTTCAAATATTCCCAGTACTCAGTGATGTTAGAGTGAGGCGAAATAGCTGTGGAACGCTGCACGGTTGTTGGTATGATTTTCTTATCATGTAAAGTTTAATTTTTTTTTATTATGTTTCTCAAAACAAGTACACTTTACATACAGTGATATGATGTACGCATATCATATTATCAGTTTAACATCAATGTGATTTGATAATTCGTTATCACGTTCCAGAAAAAGAATTATTACAGCACAAAAAATAGAATAGTTATTAACTTTCTCAAATATTGAACGATATATTTGAATTTTTCTTAAATAAAACATGTAAATTAATTAATCTGATATCATAATGGTGATAAATCTTTTTTTAATTTCTTCTCATTTCCAATTTTTTATTCTATTTATTTACTTATTTTTTGTTTTTGAAAAAAAGGTCAGTGCCTAATGGATGTAGTAGAGATGAATGCATTGCAAATTTACGATGGTCTGTAAGTGGTCGTGGTTCGCTTCTCCGTTTACGTTTGGAAGCGCTTCTTCGAGATTTGCCGTCTTACGCAATGTATATTGCATTAGGATTCTCGAATGATCAACATATGGTATATAAGTATTGAATCGATATTATTAGGTCAACTATATTATTAGGTCAACTATATATATTATTTATTTCTCCTTGTTTCCAATTTTTTATTCTATTTTTTTACTTGTTTTTTGTTTTTGAAAAAAAGGTTAGTGCCTAATGGATGTAGTAGTGATGAATTATCATTATCTCTAATTAGCCCTTATCAGTTATTCGTAGTTTATCAGTTCTCGCTGTACAATTTTTTACGATAATTTTGCAATCCGAAATGATTAACAATTAATATATAAAATAAAAACGTAAGGTTATTTTTTTGAGACATAACATGGAATGTACGATAATCAACGTTATAATATTTAGGGGGATGATACGGTAATAGAATGTGCTTACAATGGTATTGATGAAGGAAAAGCATATATATCCTATAATGATGACAATTATAATGCTCAGTTATATGAGGTTAGCTAATTTTCTGATGATTAATGTTTGTCTTCCAAGAATTCTAAGATTGCATGCTAAATAATATTTTAATTATTTATAAAGTTTGTAACCATAATTAGTATGAACATTTAGCACAATTTAAAACTATCAAAATGAATGAGCTTCCGTTTTTTTAATGGGAAGTTTATATAAATGCTACTCGAATTTTACTTGTATTTATTTAGAATAACCTATAAATAACGAGAGAGTTAAATTTAATTATTCAATTAGTATAAATTTCAACTAACATAACTATAAACAGATGAGATTCATTTCAGGCTACAGCTATTCTTATTGTAAATTCCAGTTTTACCGTAAACGACGACACTTTCATTTGCTTGCTTGATGTCGATTTCAAACGGCTTAATCGATTATCTGGAGATGATAAATCGAAAGTTTGTTTTGTTAATTATTTTAAATTATTTCAGTTAACTTTCCCCTTATCTTCAATCTTTCACCATGCTATTAATCTCCGATGCTTTACATATTTAATTCAAATCATCCTACATGAAATTAATTTCGTTTTTAGGTACGCAATTTATTAGCACATCCATATTATCTACAGTTGGTTCGTGGATCTATTGATCAATATAGTAAGCGTTTAAATGCTAATAATCTCCGATGCTTTTTAAATTTTAAAATTTAATAAAAACTTTCGAATTTCTAAAAAAAATTTTTTTTAATTTGAATAATTAAAAAGTTAAATAATAAACAAATATTAGCATATATAAAGAAGATGCATTCATTATCGGATGGTTCACTTTATCCATGGATAACAACAACAATGGTTAATATGTTACGGGATAAAGATGGAAAATATGAAAATATTAAAAATGTTCAACAAGCTAAATGGTTTTCACGTAGTACCACGTATGCGATCGTAACTTTACACGGTAAGTTAATATTTCAAAAAAAAATCACATTATTGCTTTAATCAAAAGAGCTTTTTGTTATTTACCTATACTTACTATGCAATTAACGACTTATAATAATAGATTTCAAGTAGAACTGAATAAATTGATCAAAATTTTGCGTGAAATCTAGTGGAAGTAAATTTATTAAATTCTCCATCAAATCTTAGTCTTCATGTAACTCTTTTAATCAGGGACTTTAGAAATTATTAATATTTTTAAAAATCAGTTTTAAAAAAAGGAAATTAATTACACAAATTAGGAGATTTCACTCTTTTTACAATATTATTTTTAATATTCATTTCATGCAACTATTTTTTTAAAGAATTAATAGTAAAAAAATTGCCAAAATAAATTTAAAAATTGAAACTTTTCATTTACTTTTTGCAGTAATCTTAATGATTTGGAGCTGGTGGTTTCTCTTATCAAATTCAATATTACTATCGCGATATTTTAAAACATTTTGGCCCACCATACAAATCGATGATATGCCTATTTGGTTTCAGGTATATTTTAGTAAAATCTTTTTATTACTAAAAACAAATTTTTTTTTTCTGTTGAACAAACATCTATCATTTTCTAATTCAAAACAAACAAAAAAATTTTGTTCAGCTACATCGTGGTGGTGCGCTAATATCGACAATGTTACAAACGGTAGCCATTTTCCTCATTTTTATTCAATCAAGATTTCAGTTCTATTTATGGTGTACACGCCAATGCACCATGGAGGTTAGACTGTCTCATTTTCTTCTTTTTTTTTTTAAATTACTACAAAAAAAATTTAAAAAATGGAAATTCCTATTAGTTTAGCAATGTTTTATATTTTGGAAAAATTTCCTAATCCAAAAATAGGAATTTTAATTAAACTAACTCCAGAAAAAAAAAATATAATTCTGGAAAAAAATTTTTGAAACATATTGTTTCAAAGCATTTGAAAATTTTTTTATCATTTCCAAATTGGTATGATTAACACGACAAAATTATTATTGTTGTAAAATGGATTTGTTTCTTTTGGTTTGGCATAGGTTTTCTTTTGAATCGACTTATTGGATTACTTGTATTTTCTTGAGATGGAAGTTGATCGTTCTATTAGATCACGATCGGATAAATTAGGCTTGGATTCCTTATTTGGGTCTCGGTCTAGAATGTTTGTTCCAGACACTACTGGCCTTGATGTAGTGAGGAACTCCTTCAGCTGATGTAGTTTATTGGGTTTAATAGATATTTAGTTGGCAACAATACTGATAACGCGGAAGTTGACTGCGGACAGTGCTACCGGAATAATGGTGAAATTTAGCAGTTGATTTGATGATAGTTGCAAGAATAAGCTTAAGGATGTTGAAATGGATGAAAAGATGGCCCCTATCCTGATATATCTGACTGTTTATATATCCAATATGGGGCGGTATAAGGATGGTAGATGATGAGCTTGATAGATGACCCCGGGGTCAGACAATGTCGTGTTGGGGAGGGAAGAAGCAAAGAGGACAAAAAGCTACATTTGGTTTCACATAATAACAGAGAACAATTAAAGGACAAAAGCGTTATAGGGCAATCTCTTAATGAATTATAGCAACATAAAGAAATTAAATTTAACAATGACAAAATATTTCTCATGAATTTGATTTCATAATTTTGTATTACGGATTAATTTCGGATTTCTGACAATTATGTTGATTGTATTACAAAATTTTTGCAAAACGAAAACAGTCACAATTTTCTTTCTATATATATGAGACCCAGACAAATAATTTTATAGCCAAATTATAGCATTTTATGAAGCCAATACATACATGGTCAGGCTTAATTGCTTATATTCTTGCTGTAATACAAATTGTGATAGCACTCTATCAATTCAAATGGAAATTCATCCAACGATTCTACTTCAAATGGTTTCATCGTATTTTAGCAGTTGCTGCATTCGTCGCCGCATGTGTGATATTTTACATTCTATTTTATCTTAGATTCACTTACTTATATTACGTAAATCAAATAATATCACGTTGCTTGCTTTGGGATTGAATCGAATATATAACATTGAAATGTTTCACAAATTTAGGAAATATATAAATTTAAGCAGAATTTCGAGAGAATAATATAAGATTTAAAAAAGCATCATAATTTTAATTTAGTATGCGATATCAAAATCATATTCAAGAGGGATATTGGCAAGCTAAATAATTGAACAATTTTTTTTTTTTTGCATCTCTAAAATGAAGTTTCTGAAAAGAAAGCAAAAATTAACAAAATTACTTGTAGCTTTAGGAATATTTTCTGCAACGACACATACTAAAACAGGACTTATCCGATATTATGGAAGATGGCCAGTTCTTCTTATTGGCTCATATTTGTGTACATTTTCCATAGCGCTATTTGGCTTTAGCTTTCTGGATGCTTACAGTACAAAAAAGTTGGCCGAAAAAAGCAAATATATTGGTTTATTTTTTTTAGAATTCTGACAAAATTTTCAAATTTAATTTAAATTAAATTGTAAGCATGATCAGTTTTCATTAGTCAACATTCCATACAATTATAACAACTTTAATTTTCGTAAAGAAGATGGTAAATTATTTGCATGGGAGTTTCACTTTATGTTTTACAGCTAGCTGATAGTAAATATTACTCAGATGATTATCGGACTTGATTCAAAAATTATCCATTAATTTCATTTATTTAGAAATTTGATTTAGAGAATGCAGAAAATGCAGAAAATGCAGCTATGAATGTTGAAACTACTGAAATAGCAGATAAAGATATAAAACACAAATTTTGTTGGGTAAATTTTTTTATTACTTTAGTTATTAGTTTCGCAAATAATTTAGTAATAAGTATTTTAACTGATTAGATATGCAACAAATAATATTTCGTAAAATAAGTAATTTTTATTATATGAATTTTTTTGTGATGAAGAAAAAAATCGTAGTTGAAAACTGATAATAATGACCTTTGGAATTCAGTAGTTGGAAAAAAGATGAACTGTGCAGTATGCATGTAATGTGTGTGTGTGTGTGTGTGTGTGTGTGTTGAACAAATAAATAAGGAAAAATTGTAGCCTTATCAAAAATAACCAAATAATTGATAAATTATGCATTGAACTTAAATTTAATCCTAATCTTATAATTTATTGTTTAATTGATTTCAGATCAGAATAATTCGTCTATCAATGTTCATCCTACATGTAATAATTTCATTCACTGTTTGCCTTATCATTACGGCTATGGTTCTTATGAATTATACCCGGAAACATTGATTATTTCATGTACATTTATTGATATCATGTTATCATATGATTATCAGAGCAATGGATAACTTTAAAATTTTGACGCAATTTATCCATAATAATCTGCACATTAGTAAGCAAATGTTTGCATTTTTAATAAATAATTCTATTTGCTATTCTCATATTACCAACTGTAATTTTCGTAGAAAAAAAAACTGTGATAATCTTACGATTGATATATTTCAACTTTTACTATATTGTTCTAATTTAAATCTACCCTATGCTCTATTTTGTCTCAATTTAAGTTTACTCTATACTCTATCATTCCCCTTACTCCTTTCCCTTCCAGTTGGCACCTTTTCTAATCTTGAATTAAAATGTAGTACAAAAAAAAAAAAATGAGTCCATCAAATATATTTTGCAATTTTTTTTATTGACCAAATCAAATTTGATCCTTTTACGATAAATTAAGGAAAAAAAAGAAAGATTTTCAAAAGCATTTCAAACAGAAGTGAATTTAAAAAATAAAATGATTTTCAAAAGCATTTTAGTCGGAAGCGAATTAAAAAAAAATGAAAAATAATTTCAAATATAATTGGATATTTTTTGATGTATAATAGAACATTTTACTGTATTACAATTGTACCGTATAAATGTGCTAAAAGCATTTGCACACAATTGACGAACAACTAAAAGAACCGAAAAACGGCATTCATTTCTATTAAATGATATGAAAAAAAAAACACTAAAACTATCCTATTATGAGCCAAGATTTTTTTCATATCATTCTCATCATGGTAACATAAAGGTGGATTCGCAGAGTGGTTTGCCTCGTCATTTGAAACCTTTTGTTAAAAACGTTACGTGTGTAATAATTGCTTGATGTGATCCGTGTATACGTGTTACACATAAGTGGTTATGGAATAATAGGATAGTTTTAGTAAGTGTTTATTGTATGCTCATTTATTTCATCATATCTGTTTATTTGTTTGTTCATAATATTAGGCATGAAAACTGTCGCAGACATTGAAAGCTATGATTGAATTTATTTGATCGGAAATAAAAAAAAAAGAACGTATATGCCCGATAACTTAAAGTAATTTTTGTTTTTATTTTATTTATATCAATCATAGACTGTGAAATTTCTCTTCATTTTTTTATCCTTTTTATTGAAATTTAAAGTTATTTTTATGATACAAATCGTACTAAACATTGTAAAATATTTCCCATTATTTTTTCTGTTTTCTTTTTTCAAGTTTTTTTCAAGCTAAATATATTACTGAAGATTTTTTTTTACTTAAAATTTTCTGTTGTTCGGTTGTACACAGCGAGTTTCTGCAACTTCCATTTTAATTTTGGTAAAAAATAAATTTAATTGTTTATTATTTTAAAGGAAAAAAAACGATTTGAATTTAGTAATGATTTGCTAGTGAAGGACTATACTGTGTGAGTAAAGCTGCGGACGAGATTAATTATCAAACAAGTACGGTGTTTTAGGTTTGATGAAATTTTGTCTAGTTACATAAATATTTTGCCAATCTCTAAAGACAATTTTCTTAGTTTTCCGTCACGATTCATTTCACTTTTGTAATAAAGTGAACCCATAGAAGATTAATGTTGGTCATCGTATGATGATCAAAAATTATTAGTTGGTATTTGTGAAAATATCTTCACACTGTACTTTGCATAATTTGCTCTTAAGGATGTCATTAATGCTGGATCATTATTTGGATAATTTATCTACACTTCCTCGTGATTTGGCAAAGAATTTACAAGGAATCCGGAAATATGATATGGAATGTCATAAGAGATCAGCAGAGATTGACCAAAAATTGAGGATATTTGTGAAGTCGCACCAAAAAATGCCGAAGAGTGCATCAGTTTCGTTTAATAAAGAAATTATGGTAAGTCTGCTTCATTTTTTCATTTTACTTTTGTCATTTCGTCAGAATACGCAGTCCAATAAATTTGGATTTTAATGAACTGGAACATGAAATATGAAATGAATACAATTACCGTTGAGAACGTATTAAATGAATGTTATTTACAATAAAATGTTATTAAACACTTAATAAGCTAGAAGCTTTTTGCCTATCGTGATTCATCTATCTTGTTTGTATTCATCAACTTATAATCGAATATTTCTTTCACACAACTTTATATGGTATTTTATCAACGAAATGGTATGAAAAATGGCGCAATTCGTGTACTCTTGATAAATTATGCAGAATTTTTATTGCTCCTTTGGCTTATTCTTAAGTTTACCCTTATGTCTGATTTATTTCGGACATCAGTTTTGTAGACATTGTTTACTGAGATCGAACGCCTCTCGAATGAAAAAATCCGTTTGGCATCTGATACCTACGAACTTGTCGATAAGCATATCAGACGTTTGGATAATGATTCAGTGAAACTCCAAGCTACAATACGACAAAAATATTTGGAAGCTGCAGCGGCAGCAGCTGCAAAGGGCAATAAAAACAGCGGTAACTATTAGAATGTCTCTTATATGTAAATATAAATTGAACTAACTGTACAAGCATTTCTATTAACTAGAAGTGTTTGCCTGCATTAGCATAGTTCGAGTCGTCCTTTTGCCGAAGAATATCTCACATCGAAATACTTTTACTTTCGATATCAGCGTTGCTCTCTCTATGCTTTCTTTCTCCTTCAACTACTGAATTAATTTTCATCACATCTTATCATTGTAAAATGGCAAAATATAATATTTTGTTCGTCTTTATGTATAGTAATGGGGAGAAATAGCAAATGAAATTCTAATCCCTTGAATGAAAAAATCAATTTCAAAGGAAAAAAAAATCTAACATTAAATTCAGATGAAATGCTTGAGCGTAAACGAAAAAATGTTGCGGGTCGTAAAGATAAGAAGAAATTAAAAGAGGATAGTTGGTCTCAAAAAAGTGCAGGTATGTTAGAAGCATGTTATTTTTATGATATTCGTTAATGTTGAATTTATCGATAGATGTAGTGACATTACTTATGTATTTTCCATTTCTTGAAAGAAGTTTCACTTGGGAGATGCTATTGGAATCACAGCTCGCTTCTCATTTTATTTCTGAAAGATAAATCACTAGGCTATATGTTATTATACCATCATCTAACATTCAATGATGTTTTCTGTTATATAAAAGCCTTTATGTTTCTGTGATATTTGAAAATATTTCAAAAATTCAAATTAGTGAAGTGAGTTTTTCATATTTTTCGATGAAATTCTTTTCCAGCTTCTGTCTCTACGCCACTCCAGCCATTTTTGGATGCACCATCGGTTATGGAAATGCCTGTTGATCCGAATGAACCGACCTATTGCATCTGCCATCAGGTTACTATCTTGGCAGTTAAGAAAAAATTTAAATATTATGTCGTTGCACTTGAAAGGTTATCATGGTTTTGCTGCAAAGCAAAAAAAAAAAATGAACTGTTTGCAGGTCTCGCATGGTCAGATGATAATGTGTGACAACAAACAGTGTCCTATAGAATGGTTCCATTTTCAGTGCGTTGGCCTTATGGAAGCACCAAAAGGAAAATGGTACTGTGAACGTTGCAATGAGCAGCGAAAAAAAAAGAATTCCACTGGAAGTAATAAATAATTGTCACTCAGTCATGCCGATTAATTGATGACCTCTTTTGGTACGAAACGAAAGATCTTTTTACTTTACCCTAGCCTTTTGAATGCAGAAAACCAGAAAAGAAAGAAAATCCTGAGACGTTAAATCATCGTAGTCACTGAGATTATTAGATTACCTGAAATGTTACGGATATCACTTCGAGTTACCTCCCACGATGTTTTACTCGTCTTTCATAGCCAACTCTCTAGCCTGTATATCTTGATCGATAAGTTTATTATATTGCGCGATCACGTCAACATTTTGTTTTTTGACAAAGAATTATTTTACGTTTCAGTGACAGTTTGTTTTTGTATGTATCCATACCTTTATTCTTTTAATTATCAATATGTAAATGACGCTTTGATCTCAGAATGAAAATTGTACCTCAGAACTTGTAGCAACTTGTAGAGAAACATGCGAGGTGATTCTGTAACGGAATATATATCTGCAAGTCAAATCCTGCTATCTACACAACAAATGTTGTCGAAGCCATATAATCGAAATATCAGCAGTTAACAGTGAATCTAGAAAAGTTCACTAATTCCTATGACAACCGACTTTCACAAGCACACGAGGTGGTTTCACAATATTAAATTCATCGAATGATAAAGCACTGAATTATTAATTAGGGAAAGGAAGATGATAGTGATAAATTGTGTTGTAGAAATAGATGATTCACAATCATACATACAAAGTGATAAAATAGCAATTTTTTAAATCGTATCAGTGAATATTTTGCTATGTGTTGTTCACACGTCATTTATTGTCATTCATACGAAGCATTTGATGAATCCCACTGCTTGAAATTCGTTTATTCTCTTGGATTAATGAAAAGAGCACCAGCTGCATACGAAACTGAGGAATCGTTCAGGCTGCGGCTCTGCAATATATAACAATCATTCTCAAATATTAAATTTCATGAATTTAGTCTCGAAGTTCCAGAGAGAAGAGACAAATATCTGTGTATGATACACATTTCCTATGCAATCTAATTCTTCGCCAACAAGACTAACAAGATTAAGATTAATTTCCACTTTTCGAGATGACAACTTTGCTTTTCTATTTATGACCACTTTCCCTGAGAGGGATCTTTACTGGCTTTATTCTTAAGCTTCATAACATTGCCTGCAGAACCTAAGCATATCTAATTAATTCCCATTTACAACAGTCTAAATTGTTCAAAAGGAAGAAACAAGAAACATTCAACTTTCTACAGAGTTCTTAGAAGACTAGCAGCTCAATGAATCTCAATTCTCTATATTTGATGTAATTTTCAATTTAAATTATTGATTGGTTTGATAAAAACTAGAGAATTTCATTTGTCTTTCTTTTTTTCCCCGGAATGATTTAAATTGAAATTAATATTATGCGACATGATATTAGTTTTAATTTAATTAAAATCTAGATTTTAATTAAACTAAAACTAATATCAATATGTATGACGTTCCAGTTTAAATAATTCAATGAAGCAGTTAAACTGATGTGTGAAGCATATCTAATTCCCATACATCTGTTGAATTAGTCTTGAACTCATTCCAGATGAGAAAATTAACCGAATCTAACATATTATATTTTCAACTAAACCTATACCTGATTAGACTGTGCATATTTCAGAAATACGAATTCTCCTCGATAGCTGTTCATTTGACGAAAATATTCTGCTGCCTGAAAATAATGAGAAATTCATCCAATGTCCATAATTGTTTTAAAGATCCAATACAATGTACAGAGTAAAAAGATCACATAACATTGAATATTTTTATTATAAAAGAAGCAGAAATAGCTACGGTAAATCTCTTCGAAGGAAAAATTATCACTGTTCATCAGATTATACATTAGTAACTGATCGCAAAATAATATGCTTACATAAAGAATAACGCTTATTGGATTTCTGCCACAAATCGTATTTTGCGTCCTCTTTAAATACTCGCCAAATGCGGTTGGACTAAGGCTAGAAATTGCGTCCATTCCCTGAAAACAGTCCAACAATTAAATGTTAAGACACATGGCAAACATTAATATTAGATACAATAACTTCAAATGTTCCACTTTTTAATTTCAAGAATAACTTAGCAGTTCTGTAAAACCTGCAAATATTCATTTCATGATGACCATTGAAAAGCATTTATTATGTATAGCCTACTTAAAGACATAAAATCATCTCAGGAATCATCCTCAGCTCCCCTGTAATCTCTATTCCTCTGATGTTACATTAACCTGATATTAACTTGTCCATCTTCATTGTTTTTCCTTCTCATCTTCTCTTTTTTAAATATAGAAAACTAAGCTTCTCTGTCAAGAAAATTATAAAAAAGAGAAAAAAACCTGTTTGTCCATAGCAGCAATCTGTTCATATATTGGTACATTAGTATTACTGTCGTGTGGCATAAAGTGGAATCGACTTCCTTTAACGATGTATTAGTCGATAAATAAATAGAATAGGGAATAGCCATTTTTCATTTTATCTAGATTTTCAAATACATATTTTTCATAACTGGATAAGTGTTTGAACCATATTACTAATTACAATTAGAAAAAATCATTCTTAAATTACTTACCCCAGTGACAAAAATCGGAACTGATGACAAATACTATCTTTGGATCTGACAGATACTTGCTAAATATTTTTCCATAACTGGCTTGTTTTGATGGTGAAAGCGATCCTACCAAGACTGGCACAATGCTGTAACTATTCCTCGACTGTCTGCAATAAGAAATTTAGTTCATGGATTCAAAAGAAGATATGGAAATTTCGCTATTTTACAATTTGATCTACTAAACCATCAAAAAGTAAGCAATGCTATTTACAAGTTTTATCCGAATTCAGCGTATCAGTTTAATCTTTGAATGTTATAATCCAACAAAAATATACTTTTCCATAATTTTTGCTATGTAAGGCAACTGCATTTCGATGCTATGTTCTGCTTCTTCACTGCGCAAATCCATCAACGAAAAAGCTCCAGTTTCTTTTAATTCCATATTTGCTGCAAAAATTATGATGTATGCGGAATAATTTCATTATAATACAGCATTATTTAGTTCTCTACAAGTTGCACTTATAGAGGTCTCAATAATTTAAGCTACATAAGACTGTTTAGTTTTTTAAAAAACCCTTTATGATACTAAGATTCTAAAACAAGCAGGTTGAACATGGCTGTGCTAGTACAGCTACTTGTTTTGGTTAATTATTCTCACTAGCATATAAACACACAACTTCTATAGGCTCAGCCATTTTATTCATGGATGTCATTCACCAATAATACTTTTTGGAAAAAAAATTACTTCTTTGATCGATCTGAAGATCACCTATAGGTGTACGATAACGTGAACAGGTCGACAATGCGCAAGTATCCAGTGACATCACATGTGACGGTCCCAGTACGAATATAATGCTCCTGTAATAATTACAGAAGTGATGTAAGGATTCCAGAAAAGAAAGCTTTAAAAACAATTAAAGCTCGCAATCAATTTAAAGATCTAAAGTTGCAAACAAGAGCAAATATCGAGAATTTCTCCCCCTTGCTGAATTTCATGACAATACTCTGCTAGTAGGAAGCAAGTCTCACTTTGTGACGATCGAGTTAGCAAACACACCGATCAAACGATTTAGAAATAGGTCACTTACAACTTCTGAAGAATTATAAAAATGAGACAATCTTACAGATATGCAAGAATTTTCACTTACACAGTTTCAGGAATAATTTGTTTGAAAGCAAAAGCTGCAATTTTGCCGCTGTATGAGTAGCCAGCATGTCTGAAAAAGAATGATGATTACCCGCATGAGTGGTTTATTCCAGTCTGCAAATTTTCTTTGATACTTTTCTTTTTTTCTCTTGCTAATACTAACCTTCACTTATTCATCGATAAGAGAAAGAGAAAGAAAGAATAATTATGAGGGAGAGGTGAGGATGAAATTAAAAACTTAATCATACTTGAAGCTTTGATCGAAAAGTCACGGGTTTGAAATGTGCAATGATTAACTTTCCACCATCGTGAAATGACAGTACTTACGGTGAAATAATAGCACGAGCTGATTGAGCATGATGTGAATCGGCAGCGCCAAGCCATTCTGTTAATTCACGATGAAGTTCCTTCGGATCATCGGTATACCTAACAAACCGTAAAGTAATACAATGAATAAAACTGAAATGTATGAGTGTAATAAGTATATTTTTAAAATGCATAAATGGTGTATAGAAAGTATAAAACAACGAGGCTCACGTTACTTTGTTGCATGTTACATTATATGCGTAAAAGAACAAAAAAGCAAACCAGGATCCAGCGTGAGATGCATTTCTTATAGCACATCCGGTAGAAGCCATTATTTTAGCGAAATAGTTTTAACGAGTTCCGACAATGTACCTACATTAAATATATTATTTTAGATGTGCTTGTATAATGAATAACTATTACAACGAGTAATTATGTGCTTCAAGGATATTAGTTTATCCTTAAAAGAAAAATCCAAACGTGTTTTGATGGACCACTTCCATATAATGTACAATGACCCAATTTTTCGAACAATACATTTTACGAAAAGTTTTGAAAATGAAGAATATCCTTTGATGAAGATGTGTGACGATCAACAAATTTCATATAAGTCATTTCTTCCTCATCTTCCTCCTTCCTGACCTTTGAACTCAGCAACGACCTTCGTTCGAGAGGTCAGCCTCACAGGTCAATCAAATTTCACAAACAGCAAAATGACTACCCAACACTGTTGAATGAATGCAACGAAATGTTGTGGCATAGAAATGACATTAGTGAAGTGAGCATTAGGAGAAATAGTACGCGAAGAATGATATGCGTGTCAAAGGAAAGTAGTCAGAGAACAATAGAGGGTACGGAAGCGTTGCGTCGTGCTTTCTGCGGTGTCTTTTCGCAGTGAAGTTTTGCAATTATCATTTTGAGATGTTTTTTGGAAATTTTGGGATGTTGGCTCAAAATATCGTGGTACCAGAAGGAGTAGGAGATCAGGTTATGCTACGGAAAGTTGATAATATGATATCAAACGTGGTTTCCATGATATGGTGCCAACGAAAAATGAAGATATCAAAAAATTGGATGAAGTTATGGTACTACAAGATGATAATACGATATCAATTAATGGTGTGCTATCAGATGATAATATCATAGCTGCAGAAGATATGATATCAGTGGAAAAAATTTTGGGATTAACGGAAGATAATATTGCATCCGATGTTATGGAAGAAGAAAGATAAATCGACGATATTAAAACAGATTAGTGATGTGAGAACAATGAATGCAGTTATGATATCAGAAGAATGATATCAATAGATAAGGCTGTAAGAATACTAGAAGGAAGCGATATGGAAATAAATGACCTGAAAGTGAAAATTGATGAGATGGTAGGATACTAATGAGTGAAGAAGTATGTGTAGAGGAATCCTATATTAATAGAACAGCCTATATTTATAAGATAAAACTATGGAAGTAGACGATCAAATTATGATATTAAAAGGCAATAGTATGATGTTATCAGATGAATCTATGAAATCAATTGACAAAGTTTTGTCACCAAAAGTGAAACCTATGGAAATGGATGATCAGGTATGTTCCAGAAGGCGATCATCAATTGAAAATAAAAGTTGATTCTATAGAATCAACAAACACAGATATGGCACCAAAAAATGAATCGATTAGATCAATCATAAAGGTGCAAAAAAAATGGATTGAGTATTAATTTCGTGATATCAATGAAGAGAAAGCAACAATTTAGGAAAGTTTTAAAAGTAATAAATTTTTATTTCAATTCAAATATTTTATAATTCGTTATTGGCTAAAATTTATTATTGCTAGGATATTTAACTTAATTTCATCAAAATTTAATATTAATTCTGATTTGTTGCAATAAGATTTTTTTTAATTTTATTCAATTTTATACAGTTTTCTGTCATATTGGTAGGTAATTTTGGAGAATTTCTTGAAAAGTAGCAAAATAGCTTATTGTGATAATAGCGACGCTAAGTTATTTTTCGCTTGTAATATAAAATCTGAAGATTTTCAAATTAATTTAGAAAAATGTCATGGCCTTCTATAATGATCGAAAGATCTCATTTATTTAAACAATCGGATTAAATTTATGGAGGATCAGTATGGAAATATATAT